GGCGCGTATGAGCCCCGTCACGCCCTTATGACCGAAGGAACGAACGCGGGAAGAAACGTGAAAAAAAAAAAAGAAGGAAGAAAAAAGAAGCGTTCGTAATGGCCGTAACGTCAACGAATTACCGGGCCAAGTCGGGTCACCTGGCCGAAAGCCAAGCTGTAAAATAATGGCGTGTTAGTCCCGGCCCTAATCGCCCAGATCGACGTGCCTTAAATTACGGTCTAATAACGTTTGTAATAACGCGAACGCAACCACCGCGGCGCGTATATCGCGTATTTTTAACCTCCTTCAATTCCGTCATGTTCGACACACACTGCGTTCGTTACGATATAATATCATATTATTTTTGCCGATTATAATATTCGTTGCAAGACGATCGCGAGATGGGCTCTCTCTCTCTCTCTCTCTCTCTCTCTCTCTCAATTCATCATATCGATGGTTTGATTTTCCCAGAAAATGACACGAGTACGTGTATATTTTGTATAATAATTAAATATTTTTTCAAATACTTCAATGGAGTGCGATAATACGTAGATAAAATTCGCAACTTCCGGCGAACCGGGTAATTGTGCCTCGTTAAATACTCCTCATTGCTCCTCGCTGTTTTTACATTTGAACAATATTGAACGTCCCTGTAATTTGTGTTCACTTGTTTAACTCTTATTGAATCCGATGCAGGGGTTAATTTGACATTTTACAGTTTGATAGAGTCAGAAGCCAAAGGATGAAATGAATATCGGGTCGGCAGGAGAAAAAGTTCCGTTCAAATGAATTTCAAAAAAGAGTCAAATTGACACTAACGTCCGATAATGATTAACGAGGATTAAGAAGGACGAAAAACAAAAAAGAAAAACAACAAGGAGGAGAATTATCTCCGCTTTCTTCCACAGAAAATACCGTCCCGTTTGTCAAACACACTCCTCGCCGCCGCGGCCGACTCGCGCGACTCAAGCAACGTTCCTTCCCTTCGCGGAATCCGCGCGACCGCGCCCGCGGATTTTTTCCCTCGCTTTGTTTCGCGCCGGCCGGGCGGGCCGGCCGTCGCGTTGATGTATCACACGGGGCGAGAGGGCAAGAGCAGGGAGGTGATAATAAGCCGTAAAGACTGTGAGACGCATCGAGTGAGAATGCGTCGGCTAAGTATTTACTCCCCTTAATTTCGCGGTCCGGCCGATTCCAGCGAGACTGACGCGCGGCTCAATCACCGTCCGTTCATAATTCAGCGACCTTACGGCAAAAGAAGATGTCACTCGCGCGTGAGATGTATTACGGCGCCGTTTAATCCTCGGTTAACGGTCGCCGCGCAGGGCCGTGCTTATAGAACTCTGCTCGCTTGAACCCTCCGGAATGCAATTTCGACTTGTCCCGTTGCAACGCCGTCTCTCTCTCTCTCTCTCTCTCTCTCTCTCTCTCTCTCTCTCTCTCTCTCTCTCTCTCTCTCTCTCTCTCGCCGTCTCGTTATTTGTTATTCGTTGTTTCTATCGTCAACGCGACGCGTCTCATCGCCACTGAAAAGATATTTGAAATCCGCGCTGAAGAGATGATAGATAGCCTTTAGACCTCCTGCGAGCGCGAACACTCATTGCCGCGGCGTTTCTCGCCGGAGGGAAATGAAACGTCGAACGAACGTCGTGCGCGTCTGATATCTCGGCAATCTCGGCTTTTTGGAAAGAAGCTTGGAAAGAAGCGAGAGAAGAGAGAAGGACGAATCGTAGACCAGAGGGGTTTTTTGCTCCTGTTAACGTGACGGAGATATATGCCGCCGAAAGAAAAATGGCTGTCTATAAATTGACGACGCGCAACGACTGCCGAGTGTACACACGAATGTACACATTGACGAGGATGCTCGTGAAACGTTCGAGCATTCAAATCCCCGGCATCGCGCGTCCTTATCAGTCCTCAGCGCTCCTCCACCTTATGCGACCTAACCCCACCTTATGCGAACACGCAACAGGAAACAAACGGGTGGAGGCAGGAGGGGGGCAGGGGGGGGGGCAGGGGAAGAGGGAGACGGAGACGGGGAAAAAGAGAGTCCGCGGTGCGCGGAGAGTTATGAAATACGACGGGAGGACGGGGGAGGACGCCAATATCCGTCGTGCGTCGGCTCGCGGCAAAGTAACGCGCGAAATAGAATTTATTGGCGTAGACGAAGGAGTGCCGTCGTGAGTTTTTTCGAGTCTCCGTCCGCCTTTGCCATTCGATTCGCCAGTAAACCACGACTCGTCTCGTGGAATCTCGCAGAGCATGGAGCAGCAGCCGGGCTGAGGCGATGGTGCGTCAGCCTGGCGCAGCTCTGGGTATTCGAGCCCTCCTAGATTCCCGACCAGAGCGACTCCCAGCAGGCGAGAGAGAAAGACGGAGAGAGAGAGAGAGAGAGAGAGAGAGAGAGAGAGAGAGAGAGAGAGAGAGAGAGAGAGAGAGGGGGAGAGAGAGAGAAACCATTCAGAGGGAAGAAATCCGAATTGTCCGCCGTGTTCGCTATAAATCGTGACGAAAAGCGCGACCGCGCGGCTGTTAATTGGGCAGTACAAACCGCCAATTATTTCTCGAGAGAGTGATCGTTGACGAAAGTGGCGTTATGTGCGGAGCACATCGAATACACAAGAATTTGTACCGAGCGTTTTCTCTCATATGAGAGAGAAAGAGAGAAAGATCAATACGGAAATTTTCCTAACCGCGGAAAGAAGAATATATGCCATCGTGATTCGTCTCTTCGTTTTTGCGTCATTCTTTGTAACACCATGTTTGTAATTTCGTAATTTCTCGTGATTTTATTATTTTTCTTTTCGCAGTCACGCATTCCGTCTACCTTAACAGCTGAAGGATTGATGAATTAATTAAAGTTGGGGAAACAGTTCCTCCAGGAAGCCGTACAATAGAGCGGCTCTCTTCGCGCTTGGAATCAGCAGAGTGACCGAGTGCGATCGATCGATACAGCCGCGCGCGCGCGCGCGCGCGCGCACGATTCGATCGATCGGGCCGCGTACAACGCGGCCCGATTTTGTTGCCGGAAAATCGGCGCGAGCTCGACGAATCGCTCGACTCAAGGTTACGGCTCGTGTCTCGAAGAGGCTTATAATAAGGTGGACATGAGCGAAGCAGCCTTGGACGTCAGTACGATAACAAGGATGTTGTGCTGACGGTGCATCCTCTGCCGTAATCAGACTTGTGGAGCCGGCCGTCTGGAGGCATCGACGACTCGCGAAATTAAAGTATCGCGGCGTGCGAACACGCGCGATTGTATTTCGGGAAACGACGGCATCGCTCGTGTTTATCACACAAGGCGCACGTGCGCGCGATTATTTTCGCGAATGTTACCGCGGACGGCATCGCGATTACCGTCCGATAAACAAGACTTTGAAGAATGCGAGAGAATACGTGTCAGGCGGAGGCTTTCTACCTGAGACGATGACAGTGTGTGTGTGTGTGTGTGTGTCGGCAATTACGGGCCGTTGAGAATTAACGAGAAAGTTAACGCGCAAGCCGACAATTGCCGGTATGGCCTGCCGATAGTTCGCTCCAATTCCTGACGTACTAAAAGTCGTTGTATTTCTTCTCGATTGTCGAAACGAGAGAGTCGGCCTGTTGCAAAGGAACGAGGAGGACAATGCGACGGGCCTCGGTTGCAGCCGTATCGCAACCGTTTGCGCAGTGCGATAGTTGAGAATAATAATAATCACGTTAATGAAGACATTGCAAGAGTGAAGCGCGAGCTTAAACGTACGTTTAAACGCTACGTGCGACTTCCCGATTAACGCTACCGTAAACTTGACGACGTGCTCACTTTAAGTAAACACAATAACATCGCGCGTCATACAAAAAAGTACAATGAAAACGATGAAGACAATATTAATCAAAGCGAAAGATTGATTAATATTGCGTCTTTTTGCGTGTTTTTGCTTCGTCACATGTCAAAATGGATATAGCAGAACGCCGATAAAGAACGCTCGATCGAGAATCTTGATGTATCAAGAATGATCTTTTATATGTACACACTGGGAAATAAAAATCAATTATCTCAGTTATTATCATTTAATCTCACTGAGAAGTAACAATAATTTTTGTTGCCAATTTTATCTTAATAAAAAATTATATATATATATATATATTACTTTCACATTTGAAGTTTGATCATTTTTTGAGAAATGTATCAATAACAATACGCATGTGCAAATATGTTTGTTGTTCCGATAAAAAAAGTATTTCTCTGACAACGCGATTGACAACAGTAAATGTAGCAAATAGCAGGCATACGTTTTGTCGGACTAAAAATATCGTGCGTTATGCGCGGGAAGAGCGAAAAATGGAGACGAATTGTCATCTTGTAATTTGCGGCATGTAGACACACGGAGGGGGGGGGGGGGGAGGTTATTTCCCTCGAGCAATCTTAAACCTGAATGGCAATCTTAAAATCTCTAATAACTTTTTCGTCGGCCGTTACGTTCCGTGCGAGGTAGAGGACGATGACGAAATTGTGCAAAAAGGGCTTGACGGAATTTTCGAGTCTCACATGGCAAAATGCCATAAGCACCGACGGAGCTTGACTGCCGTGGCGACCCGCGATACTCTTTTTATTATTCCGCCCGAGCTCCCCCTCAGCTGCTCCGGTGAGTTCTTTTATTTCGCGATTTCTCTCTCATTTCGCTGACACGAGAGAGCGCCGACCCGTCGAGACACGCTCGAACTTGGACCAGGTCGCTCTGCCAATTTGGCGGGATTATCGCGGAAGTCGCCGATCCGTTTCTCTCTCTCTCTCTCTCTCTCTTTCTCTCTCTCTCATCAGCAGCACGGCAGCTGCGATTATTATTAACACTCCTGTTCTTGTAAAAAAAAAGAAAAAAGGAAGAAAGAAACCGCGCAGCGCACCATGGTGCCTCGGTCTTTCATCCCTCGGTGTTCCCTTTTCCCTTTTCTCTTGAAGAAAGTGTACCTGCGCTGCGCTTCTTATTATCTCCGCGAGCGCGTTTCGCATTGAGGAAAACGATGCATGTTGAACTCACGTTTCATGACGTAGGGAATTCCGTTGAATGTCTCATGCGATAGAATCCAAAAGTCGATTACACACGAAACACCGGTATGATCTGTGTGTGTGTGTGTACAATATGTAATGTGTATAGCAAACTATCACTCGAAAGCGCGAACTTTTTTCAAAAGCGACCGATCAGAATCCGGCAGAACAGAGGTCATCCCCCGACCACCTGAGCCGGGTCAGGGTACGCGAGTGGTGCAACTTAAAGTCGTCTTAAGCAAAACTAAACTTCGGTCTTGTGCCTCGACATCCCGGTATCACGTATCCCCCCACTACGTTCGCCTCGTTTCAGTCGTGTGGGATTTACGCGTACGGGGAGTATAACGTGTATTTCTCACCCGGCCAGGGCAGTACTCGTTTAAGGAACGAGCGCGCGTTCGCTGATACCCGCTTTGATCATTCGTTCTCGATGATCGTTCATTGGACACTGTCGTGTACTCTCTCTCTCTCTCTCTCTTTCTCTCTCTCTCTCTCTCTCTCTCTCTCTCTCTCTCTCTCTCTCTCTCTCTCCCCCTCCCTCTCTTTCTCTCTCTGTCTCTCTCTCTCCCCCTCCCTCTCTCTCTCGAGAGAGAGAATATCATCGTTGTCGCGTCTGCCGGGACATGATATTTGCTGATAAAGTCGCGCTGCAATTCGACGTGTCTCCTCGGCCCTCGACGAAGCGCGATACTACAGTGTGATGTTCACTTCTCGATGAAATGGAAAAATTTTCCATACCGTCTACGTCCAACCTCGTCGTCCACATCATCCCGCAGGCGGCTTGAGTTTGCCGCTTGAGTTTGAGATGACACACCAGATGAGATATCACGCCAGAGCGCCCCTGAGTCACTGCACGATGTGCTGATTCCGTGGACTCGGCTTAGGATTATCGAATCGCGAATGCATTTCGCTCGTCGCGAGTCCTGCGCCGAATGCGTCACAACCGCGCGCGTTCTCTTGCTCAGCTGATTGCTACTGGATGCTTGACAGATTGTTTATTGCAGGCGCGGAGATTAAAGTAAACACAAAGAGGGAGAGAGGGATAAATTATCGAGGATCGGATGTGAGGTACGTGAGAATCGTTTGGCATAAAACCGCCTTGTGAATCACTAAATAGGGCGAGGCGTTAGACTGCGAAATATCAACTAACTTTATTAACAGGCGAAAGGCGTTCATTTTTTATCGTCTCGATTCGGTCGGCTTATTTCCCTTTTCGAGAAATTATCTCCCGCGACTCTCTCGGAGCGGTGAAATTCGGAGCGGTTGGGTGAATCCCAACGCTCGCGTTTACCCGCAGGATCTCGTCATTCGCAATCTTGACGTAAGACTCCGGATTTGGGGAGATTGGCAGATTTTTTACTCGATCCCGCTTATCGAGCATGGAAGAAGCAAGCATTCATCGAATATCCGATCTCCCGAAAATCCCGCTTCCCGGGGAAATTGCAAACGGACATTCATCATCGTCCTCGACTCATTCGAGGTTCGAGATCGTAGATCTCATTCCGCTAATATCGATCGAACAGCCGCCATGTCCGGCGGCTTGTAGGAAGTATCGAATTTCGTGTTTCTACATGTGTCCAAACGCTCAAGTCCTTCCTCTTCACCTAGCCGATCGCCCTGGCTGATCGTGCCCCAGCTGCAGCTCGCGGTCTCTCTGATCCTCGACCACCGACGGACAGGATATCCACGAGCATGGTTCGCATCCGGAGCGGAGCAGAGTGATGATGGAAATCGCGAGTCGCTGGGAATTATTTCGCCGGGGGGCGGGCGGGGGGGGGTTTCGCCATGGGAAACGGGAAATTGCCAGAGTGACGTCGGTGGCGGGGAGGGGGGGAGTGGAAGTGTCGCGTTTTTCCCAACCCCCAACGGAATGGAAAAGTATTGCAAGTTTTGCAATCTCAGGATGCACCCGCGCGGCGCGCGTGCGAGGTGCACGTCGAAACCCTCGGCGAAACCCGAGATCGAGAAGATCGTGAACGCGGAGCTACATTGCGCATTTCCCTTGGCGTTGCCGTAAAAGCCGTAAAAGTAAATAAATCTGCCGAGCGCGAACGCGTGCGCGTGCGTATCTCCGCGCGTTATTAAAATCCTCGTACGTCGGAAATGCGCAGCTATCGCGATCACCTTCTTACCAGTCTAAAAGCGCCGCTCAGGCGAAAAGGGTTGAAGAGTGTGTGATTTATGCCGTCGCGGCGAGCGCGTCGCGACCTGGGCGCGCGTGTGAGAAACGAACGGATCGGACTATTTTCGAGTCAACCGCGTACTCGCGCGCTCCGGATTCTCATTTCGTCGGGCTGCGAGGCGGGCTGAGGCGTGGGCGCGAAAAGAAAGCAAGAAGGGAAACGGGTGTAAAGTAAATAGGAGGAAGGAGCGTAACGCGTCGCGGCAGCCGCGAAGGGGCGTGCCGTTTCCTCGAGCGATTTGTAGAAAGAGAGAGAGAGAGAGAGAGAGAGAGAGAGAGAGAGAGAGAGAGAGAGAGAGAGAGAAAGATTTGTTCTCGCGCTGCCCTGGCGAACGTGATCCTTGCTCGTGATCCTGCCCCGACGGCACCCTTCCGCGGCTCACGTCGCGGCGCCGTCGCAGCGCGGCAGCGTCGCGAGGACTCCCGGCGGAGCAGCAGCTGTCGCGACGTGCTGCCGTAAATCTTCCGATCGCGTCGAAATCTACTACGTCGAAGCTTTATTTTCAAACTCTATTTTTTTCTTTCTCAAACGCCGAGTTTTACGACGTTCTGTCGCTCGCGAGAGCAAACGAGAGAACGAACGCCCGCACCCCGCGTCATGCTTGAATCCACTCGATTAACCGGGAGAGATCGCTCGCGCTCCTTGCTCCTCGGAAGTAGTGCGCGTTGCACTCCTCGCCCCTTTCCCCCTTCCCAAGGAAACCGATTGAAAGCCGGTGTGTCCCAGCGATGGTGTGGCCAATTGAATCACATGATTTTGCACGCATCGCGGAATGCAGCCCCGCGAACTCACTCATTGAAACATCGCGATCAATCGGGTCAATCCGCGAGGCATCGAAGGCAGCCCCCCCCCCCACCGAGGCAAAAACTTATACAAATGTACAAATGCTCAAAAGATAGGCGTAGCATTTATAGCACTCCTTCATTTAATCGTAAAATATATTAGAAAAGCCCCAGTGCTCCAAAAGCTGCTTTTTGAACAGATACAAGAACAAATTAGAGCACTTTTATGAGTGCTCAAAATTCGACTTTCTTGTCGAAAAATTTCATGCTCCATTTCGTGCTCTATGTGCTCCATATGCTGCTCTGATGGTAAAAGTTACAAATGCTCCTTGTGCTCGAAATATCGCACATTTCGTGCATCCCGAGGAGGAGAAGAGCCAGAAAGATACAGCCAAGTTTATATTTTTACTTATACGCTGTTCTATTGAAGTCAGAGATATCACATTTACAAAAAGGAAATAGTAATAATAAGTTAAAAATTTTTTAATAGTGTTTTTTTAAGTGTGTAATAATGAATTGCTCAGTTGAAGTTTTTAAATGATAAATTTATTTATTTATTGTAAAATATTTTATAATAAGAACAAATTTTATTACATACCTTACGTACGATATGTGTTTTGATTCTCTTTTTCAATATAATTTATGTTCAAATTTTAAAGAACATTCATGGTTGACAAGATCTGTTGTCAAACTCAGGTTTCTAAATTTCACTGGCAATCACTGTGCGCATCAAAACAATTACAATCTTTACCAGAAGGTAAAGTTAAAGATTTCTGCTTCCGCAAAAGAAGAAAGTCTTTGAAGATATGTGATAGAATTGATAATTATTATTTAGTTGTAGGTTCTTACGTGAATAATATTAATGGACAAGCACTTGTAATCGAGGGTTTGCGAGATTGTGGTATAGTATATGAGAAAATTCAATTTTTTCATAGGCTTCTCAGAAATGGATTATTGTATGTTGCTGAGAGCTATTCCCGAGATCATCTTTTGTTTTATATTATTTAAATAATGAAAAAAATTTTGGTTCTATATATTCTTTTGTATAGGTAAAAATCTGTCATTGTGAGGATAATAATTGTGGGTGTGAGAGTAGACGCTACGCAATAACAAAAGAAATGATAAAAGTAGGTGGCTTTCATGTCACATCATGATGAACAAGACCGTCACATACAATTATTTACACATACAATCAATATATGTATCAATTTGAAGTGAGTGTAAGGGTTTATGCAATTCCTGTTAGCAATCTTGCATCTGTATGCTTTTACATACCTATCAATGATCAGATTTTCTTAGCCGAACAAATAAATTCAAATGAAGTAGAATAGAAATATATATGTATGTATGTACGTACCTATGTAGAATCTACAAAAGAAATATAAATTAAAATTTAATTTGTAAAACTGAAAGCAAATAAAATGTAAAATACAAAATCTTAAATAAAATATTAATTTCTTTATTAAACTTTTTAACGAGGAGCATTTTGAGCATTTATAACTAAGGTAGCATTTCGAGCATTCCTCTTTCTTTCCGCGAAAGAGCTCTTGCATGACATAATGCTACAAAATATGACAAAATATGACGCGTGTACGGTGTATAACGGCGGCAATAATAGTAATTCATGAATGGTTCAGTCGCGACGGCCAATAATAGCGCCATCGTAACGTGGTGGTAGCGATAATTGAATGGACTGCGCGCGGGTGGACGTCTTACAACATCCTGGCACGTGCGTAAACAGCTCTTAGGTAATTCAGGCCGACGCTTGTCGTCTTATATATAAAACATGTTGATGAAATATCCTTCGAAAATTTGAACAGTCATTCCCAGGGTAACACTGCATGACACGTAGATGCGATACGTGTTATCTGTTGTAAATAAAAAGTGTTTATATAACTTGAAAAAGAAGCGTTTCTGGACTCATGTTTTTTTTTATCACTTTGTTCATCCTTACAGTGAGTAGGATATGCTCTTACAGAGTTTGGCCATCTATTTCTGAATCACCCTGTGCGCGCGCGCGCGCGCGCACACACACACACACACACACACACACACACACACACACACACATACACACACACACACACACAAGACGAGTTGATGAAATATCCTTCGAAATTCGAACGGTAATTCCCAGACGCTGAAGAATACTTTAGCGTCGATTTTTTGTTGGTTTTTTGTTGGTTTTTTGTTGGCCCGTAACTTTTGCTCCGTGGCTCTTCTCTAAAATCGTCCGATTTAAAATCACCGTCCTGATCGTTTGTTCGTTTTTCCGATGCGAACTGCCTTCCAGGACCGTTTAGAGCTCTCAACACTTGGAGTGAAACTTCCTCGCGCGCGCGTTCACGTCCGGCAATTAAAATTTTTATCAGCGAAACGAAATTCTAGACACCGACCTCCCCCTCTAGGAATAGTTGACGCGTCATCTTTTACAGCCTCGTAAAATCCGCGGGATACAGAGAATGGCTTTGTCTCGTGGTCCTCGAAAGCC